TGTGCCACCCGCCTGTGTCCCCGCCCGTGCCGCCCGCCCGGCCGCCCCCGGACTCACTGGTGGATGGCTTGGAGGAACTTCCTCTGGTGCTTCCGGACTTTGGCGTGGTCGGTCTTCCTGAGCAGCTTCGTGTGTTTGTAGATCAGCCACGTCTCCCGGAGGACGTTGGCCGCGGCGTTCTTGATCTAAGGCAAAGCAAACAAAGCAGGTCGCTGCCGGCCTCGCTCTCCTGCTTTCACGTGAGCCGACGTCACCTGCGCTGTCAGGGAACGGTTTCGTGGCGACCTCCTTCCTCAGTCAAACCGTGAACTCTCAGGACGAATAATTAAAGTTCACCCACTATGGACCCTGAACTGGACACAGCCCCCCGGAGCCTGAGGCCAGGCATGCTTCTCGTTGCTTCTTAACCATCCAGGGCTGCCCCCCGGCCGCCATCGCTGACGGTCTGTGCAGACAGGCTGCATTAACGGGACCTGGAGGCCCGGGGCACCCTTCTAATGGGTTACGAGATGCTGTCACCACACTTGTGTGCGGCGTCCTGGCTCGGCCCGAGCCCCGCGCCCCCCCAGCACACACTGCATTCCTTGTCTTTGGAGGGGAGGTATTCGCTATCCAAGGGGGATTTTTTCTTTTTTTTAAGCGAGGCAACCCTTGGTTGACCTCACAGATTGCAAGGACCTTGTCAGCTTACGATCCCTTATTTTTTATTTTTTACGCCTACAGCACCCGGTCTTCCTAGGCGGTCTCCCATCCAAGTACTAACCAGGCCTGACCCTGCTTAGCTTCCGAGATCAGACGGGATCGGGCGTGTTCGGGGTGGCGTGGCCGTATCCACCGGTCATCTTTAAAGTCCTATTTGAGGAAAGAGCTTTCCCACCAGAGGGAATTCGAGGTATCAACGAGTCCACGGCTGCCTTTCCCAAATGGGCAAAAACCAATTTATGCCACAATCTTACATGGAGCTGTAATTGGCGTCAAACTGAAATAATTTCAAAGCGGTGTCTGAAAATCAGCGAAGCCATTTAGGTGCGAAACCAGAGCCGCCTCGCTGCCCGGGCTGGCTCCTCACTGTGCAATCACACGTTTCGACATTCGACGCTGTCATCTGTTGACATGGAAACCACTGATATCACCCGGCTCGCGACTGAGCTGACACATATCGATGGCATCCAGATGGCCGGGGACAAAGTTTTAGTCCAAACACAGACATCTTCAGCAATTAGGAACAAGAGCAAGAGAAAACATTTCTTATTAAGCACAAGCTAGACAGGTTTTTGATTAACCATTCCCATTTCCGTCAGCCTTGCAAATTGGCACAAGCCCACAGGCCTGAGGCCTGGAAGTACTGGAAGTAAATCGGGGTACTAGCCAGAAAGGATTTTAATAAAACCGGAGAGCACAGGCCTGATTCTTCAGACTGACATCAACAGATGGGACACCGTTAACATACTGAGACGTGTGGGAAGGCCCAGGAAACGTTTTGCAGACTGATAACTTCGGGGTGTGTATGTTTTAAAAATTTATTACTAAGGCTGGATCACATTTTTCGTTGGCGCTGAAGTGATATTTTTAAAAGAACAGCTAAGTCTTCTCAGAAATGTCTAAGTGACGTAAATATTACTTTTTGTTGTTGTTTTCAGTAAAAATCCACTGAGAAAAATGGTTTTAATGACTTCATGGCCCACCTCTGGTAACGTCTTGCTTGAAAGGGAGCAGGTGGTAGAGAGGAGAAGCTGGACTCGTGAGCATCCGGGTGAGGAGCAGGAGGCGGAGGAGGGGGTCGTCCCCGGGGTCCTGTCCAGCGGCTGGAGCGGACAGCCGCCCGGACAGGAGCCCCTGCTCTGTGCAGTGCCTACGCCTACTACTGTCTTTCGTAGGGAGAGGGCAGTTTGAAACGTGGTCTCTTCGCTTTCTCTTGGTGCTCGGCCTCCAAGGAAAGCATCGCGGGAGGGAAAACCCAGCCCAGGTGTTTAGGGCGCCCGGCAGAGCTGGGGGAGTCCCCTTTTGTGGCCAGAGTCACCAAACGCCGAGGCCGATGGGCCTCTGACGACTGTCTCTGGAGGAGTTGCTGTGGAACAAACGTTTGCGACTGAAAAGCCTGTGGGTGAGTCCCTCGTCCACCGGTTAAGCGGCCGAGGAGAGGATGCTCAATTATCTAAAAGGTGGAGGAAGACATCCTCACTCTACGGGTTGTTGGGAGGCCGGGAGGAGGGGACGCGGATGGCGCCGGTGGCCTGAGGCTGACGGCTCACGTCGCCGGGCACAGGTCTGAGCGCTTCGTGTGCGTGGACTCAGTGACCCGCCATGGCAACCCGCCATGGCGATCCGGGTGCCGGGGGCCGGTGAGAATGTCACCCCCCCCCACTTTACATGTGAGGAAACCGGGGCACAGACCCAGGTCGTAACGCTCTCCATGGCAAACCGAGTCAACGCGGAGCTACGTTCCGTGAACTGTGAACACGTGGACAGGAGAGGTTCTCGTCTGGCCCAAACCCCGTTTAAAATATGAGGAAGCAGCTTCCTTGATGGCGCATGAGGGCCGGGCCCACACGGCCCGCTGATGGAGACCCTAGGACAGGCGCCGGGTCCACGGAAGGCACGAGGTTCGCACGTGGTCTGAAGACAGAGCCCACGGATTTCGTCTCCGACAAACAAGCGTTTCCCGTTTTCCAGGATCGAGGAATTGGAAAGAATGCTAGATTTTTTTCCATCACCTTGGCCCTCACTCAGCCACGTGACGGAACAGGGCGTCCGTGTCCTACACTGGCCTTTGGCCTACACGTAAGGTGCTGGGGCACAGCCCGGCCTGGGCAGCTGCGAGAGCAGCCCCTTCGTCCTGCGGGTTTGAACAGGACGCTCTCGGGGACTCGGAGGAGCGATGGAAAACATAGGCCTTGCTGCCAGCGAGCGGTCTGGCACAAAGCTGGGCAGATTGGTGTCTGCAAGAGAGACGGACATGGGCTTTTAACTGCGCCATGCCTTCCCGAGGTGCCAGTGACTGCCACTGTGATGGGGTCCCTCTCCAGTTCACGTGGCGGGTAGCTCTGAGCACTGCTGCGGTGGGGACCCGGGGTGGTCGTGAGCCCCTCCTGGGAATCGCTGAGCCCCCGATGGGGGCCTGGGTACCCCCTGAGCTCTCCTGGTGGATGGGTGCCCCTGGGGTGGCCGCCATTGGCTAGGTCTGGGGACAGTGGGAAAGGGGCCTTTGTGCATGGGAGGCTGGCTGCTCGCTCCCCAAACCCATAAGCCTAAGAGCTGGTCGTCTGCCAAAAGGCTGCCTGTCTCCCTTCCGGCGGGGCCGGGAACGAGCTCAGCGGCCTGCGTGCTTTGGAAGGCACGAGATTGACAGCCGAGCGAGGAAGTCGTCCCTCTAAGATCTCGCAAATAATAGTGACCGGCAACGTTTACCAACCGCCTGCCGGGTGCCCGGCTCTGTGCCCAAAGCCTGGTGCTTGCGGTGCTTCGCCAGCTCGGAGGGACCTCCCAGGAGGACGCAGGATCATGTCCTCCGTGGACGTTACTGATGGTCTGAGCCCCGACTTCCTCGTTCCTCAGGGAACACTTGCCGAGCCCCACGATGGGGTGACTCTGGGCAGTGAGAGTGTGCGGTGCAGAAGCCCGTCCCTGACCCGCCCACACCGAGGTCACGACCTCGCAGCAACAGCGTGCCACGTGGGACATCGCGTTGGCGGCAAGGGCTTTGGGGGGCCACACGGCCGGGGGGCGGGCAGGCAGCCACCCAGAGCCGGCGATCTGGATGGGACTGCGGTGCTGACGACGTGAGGCTCCCTGGACACCCTGAGCGCCCAGCGCGGCCACAGGGCTCCTGGACGCACAGCAGCTATTACCCGCCCGCCCCGGTGCACGTCAGCTTCTCCCCCACCCCCAACAAGAGAGAACATATCAGAACATCTATGTCTGTTTCCTGAGCTCTTGGCCATGGTGCCCATGTCAACGGCTTGGTCTGGCCACCTCTCTGCTGGAGTGCTCTGCCGCACGGTGTCACAGATGGGCTGTTGGTTGCAGGAGAAACATCTGGACAGGACAAGAGGAGCACCCCTCCTGGACTCCCCATGCCCCCCAAAGCCCCAGAGAGACCTGGGTGAGTACCTCCGGGGAAGACACCATTGGCACACCCGCCCGCGACGCTGCCAGGAACCCCGCCCGGGAAACGGGGTTCCCAGGAGGCCGGAGACGGGAAAGGGGAAGGGAGGGGGCAGATCAGGCCTGTGAGGGGGTGCGACTTAACTTCAAGAGTCCCACAGGTCACAGTCAGATTAACCGAGAGCTGACGAAGACCACCATCCGAGAACTCAAAGCCAGCCCAGTCCCCAGATGCTTGGCGGATGGTGTCCGCTACACACACGGGTGGGGACAAGGGCCACCCCCTCTTCCCTCTCTGCCAGCCCCTCTCTCCCCTGTCCCCAGCACCTCTGAAGCCGGAGGCGTCCGCAGGCGCCTACCTTGCCTTTTAGAAAGGGGGGGTGGTCTCTGAGGGCAGGGCCATCCTGGTGTCCCCAGAGCACAAAGCGTGGTGACCCCCGTGACCGACGTGTTTATGTGTTACATAAAACACGGGGACCCGTGGCGTCGGGCGGTAGGAAGATGGGGACCTGGCACCCCTTCCAGTCTCTCGACGTGTCCTTCCCTCCCGTGTTACCTCGTAGCCCGAGGGTCAGCGATAAATCATAGTCACAGAATAACGATGGTGGCGGCACCGCAGAGGTCGCCGTGACAAGGCCTGATGGCATGAAGCAACGGGAACGATGCTGCCGCCGGGGGTGCCGAGAGAAAGAAGGGACGCCACGGGCCCCGGGGGACCCCGAGACCGCGTTCCCGCCCGCGCTCTCACACAGCCCGCCCCGCCGACGGGCGCTCAGCAGCGGCTCCAACGGCAGAGCCCGGCCGAAGCGAGTGACCCCCGCGCCCCTCGGCCTCACGATACACGGGTCGCAGGCCCTCCCTTTGTTCTCTGCTCGGGTGTGTGGAGAAGGCGCCCGCTCGTCCTGGTGTGACCGCTTTCCTCTACGACATCAGATTGTCCGCCCCCGAGAGAGGGTCGGGACAGCAGCCATGACCAGCGCCTCCCACAGTCGGCTCCTCCTCCGAGGTCGTGTGAAGAGACTGAGCTTAGCGTCCCACGAGCCAGGAGCCACTCCAGCTGGACGGGCCATTCGGGGAGGACAGGGTACCAGAGGCATCCCCAGGGAAGGCAAGGTGGGCTTCTCTGAGCAGGTCAGGGGGAGAGGATGGCAGAGCAGGCCGAGCTCTCAGCCAGTCAGGTCAGTCAAGGTCACGTCGCGGAACTTCTGCAAGTCCCTGTCCTGCCAGCTCTGAACACGCCCCACGGGAAGAACCATCTCTTTTGCGTGTTACATCTTCGGAAAAAGACACTAGACTTTCAGGGGACATTGCAACAGGTTTAAGTGTTCTGCTAATTGCAACTGTGACAACATGACATATAGCGAAGCCAGTTTACCAAGGCTAAGTGACACAGACAAGAGTTACCAGCTCGTCACCGTCTGCGTGTCGGCCACGTGAGGCTACCGGCCGGTACCCGCTCCTTCCCCGTCTGCGGAGGTTTCAGGGGACCCAGGACGTGTGGTCGAAGACCCAGTGATCGAGCACCACGAATAACTGTCCGGGGTCTGGGGAGCCCTTGGCAGCTGCATGGCGCCCGCGCCTTCCTGGAAGCTGGCCGACCCCGCCGACCCCGCCCTCCCCGCCGACCCCGCCGACCCCTCCTTGTTCTCCCTCCTGCCTTTGCCTCTGTTTCTGACGCATTTTTACTGTGCTGCACCATTAATCACCGACTCTGTTCTCTAGCTTTCAAAAACCCGAATCCAAATCTGGTGGCACCTGGGCCTCCGAACCCACGTTAGCCCTGACCGGGAAGGACCAGCCTTGGCGGCCAAACCCGCCCACGGGGTCTCGTTTCTCTCCCATCTCGGAAAGGGGAGGATTTTGCGGGAGATCCCATTACTGACCTTCTTCGTCCGGCCTGCATCACTAAAGAATGATCCCCCGACAGCCGTCAGGAAATCGACGCTCCCGCCCGCTCGCCGCCCCCTCCCCTCCTCTAGATGGGCCTTTTCTTCCCCGACGACTCAGCGGGGTGTCGGACCCTCCCCTCCTGGCTAACACCTCTCCCTGTTCCCGCACCTCTGCACCCAGCGGATCGACTTCCGCGAGGGGACAAGGGGGGACGTTACCGGGGAAACCCAGAAGGGCGACTGGATGGTGACGGGCTTGGGAACTGGGAACGTGGGCTCTGCAGCGATGCTCGATGATCGCGCGTTAACGACCTTTTTCGAAAGGGCTGCATTTAGCTACATTCCCAACGTCGTTTAAAACCGTTGCCGCCGGCCGGGTGACGTGTTCGAGCACCGTCGGGCGAGGGGGCGGTCGCCCCACGGCATGCGACACAGTAACCAGCAGGAAGCGAGCCGGTTGTGGGGACCACCCGGCGTTTTGTGGGGAGACGGGGCCTCCGGACGCCCACTCGTGTGGGCCGTTGCAGGCGTCTGGGCCGGCGCACCCCCCACCCCGGAGCCGCCCGGCCTACGCGGCTTCCGCCTCCGTCGGCAGCGCCCCGTTACCGCGTGGACGGTGGTGCTTTACCCGTTTGGTGAGCTGAGTGTCCATCATGAAGTTGTGCACGTGCTTCTCCGCTTTGGTGAGTTCCAGCTTCCGGGCCACCACGGCCACCACGAGGGCGGTGCAGCCCGCTCCCTGTGGGGGGACAGCGAGAGGGCAGGGAGAGAGAGCACGTCGTTAGGAGGCCAGGTTCGGGGTTCGCCCGCTGTGGGGTTTCCAGGAGTGGACGAGGGCCCGCGCTCTCTGGCCGGTCCAAGGCACAAAGCCTGTGGGGACCCTGATTCCTACGCCCACAGAGGGGTCTGCGACGCTCCCGGCCTGGCTGCAGAGCTGACCTCTGGGGGACTTCACAGAACTCGCCAGTTCTTATGGGACACGGAACGGGGCTGAGGCTATGGGGGATTCACAACAGAGACAGTCGTCTGGTCCCGTGCCGGGTGGAGCTGGGAAGACGGAGCGTCTGGTGCACACAGGCCCTCTCCCTGCGCGCACATCCCAACCCCACTGCCCGCCCCAGACCACAGGGCCCAGGACGGACAAAAGGCCATGTGTGAACCAGAGCATGGCTGGAGCACCTGCTGGTGGCGGAGACGTCTCCTGAAAATAGCCTCATAAAGAGGTGCCATGTTCTCCCCCAAGCTGGCTTCCCGGGGGACACCGGTCCCCATGAGTCTGTCCCCGGCTGAGCCGGCTCCCCAGTTAGGTCTTTCTACCTAACTTCAGGTCTCGGCTGTGACTCCGCACAGAGTGGCTCTTTCTGGCTTTTACTGGGAGCCTCGTGACTTCTCATCACGTAGAGATTTTCAAGGCGACGATGCTCTGGCCTCGGACCAGAATTTTTAGGGGACCCTCAGGAAGCCCTCGCTATTTTCCAGGGCGATGTTGCTTTTCTGCCTGGGTAGGTCCAATCCGGGGGGCACAGAGGAGGGGGAGTCACAGGGCCCATGAGCACCACTTGCGCCCCGATTCTTCGGCCCACAGCAGCAGCCCCTGCCCCCCTGGCCTGGGTCTGGGGAGAGGGCGCCGCCCCCCGCCCCCCGGCCATCGCCTTCCGTCTGCTCTCTGGCCCTTGACCGTGCCGACCTCTACTCCTGGAAAGAGAAGAGCTCAGCAAAGTCGGCGGTCCAGTCCTCAGATGCCAGGCGGAAGTCAGAGCGGCCGCTGGGCCCAGTCCGGCCGGCGGGGGCCCCGGATTGAAGGAATCGATCGATGACATTTTTGGCTCATCGGGTCTCTGACAGGGTGCGTTAGAACCGTCAGAGACGTTTTCGAAGGTGCGTGGCCTGCACGGCGGGGAGGGCGCGTGCGGGTAGCTGGTCCTCTGTGCCTCCTCGCGGCCTCTCCTGCCCGTCTGAGCAGGTGCTGGCACAGCCGAAGCCGGCAGCACCCTCCCCTCGCTACTCATTTGTCAGTCATGCCTCGGCCACCCTGTTTTTAGCACAAACCGGAAAAAGAAAAAAAAAGAAAGAAAGAAAAACAGAGTCTGTGAACGTTCCTTTCTCTCTCCGTTCAAGAGACGGCTGTTTTCTCGGCATCCGTGACTTGCAGGAGATTCTGTGCCCAATTTTCAAAGAATATGTAGGGCAGGTGGACACCCGGTCTGAGGCTGTCATCAGTCCAGCCAGGGATCCTAAAGCAAAAAGCGGCTTAAAAGAAGCCGTCCTGGGGGTCAGACGCGTGCTCCATCCCTTAACCACATGGACACGGTCTCCCGCCTTCCTATGGAGTTCAAGGGCACCGGGGGCTGCAGCCCTGAAGACGGACGTGTGACAGTGTTTAAATGGAGTATCCGCTGGAAAGGTTCTCCCCAGGTGCCATTCTCTCCCGTCTCCCTGGGAGCACCCCAAGGTCTTGCCGCAGCTTACAGCCGAGCCAGGCGAATGCGGGGGTTTCCAATTAGAAGTCAGGGTGTCTTCATCAAGGAGCCGTCTACCTTCTAGGATTAAGATGCATCTCTGTGCGGACGCAGAGGGCAGACAAGATGATGTGTCCCAGCTTCTTTCTACTGAAAGGTGTCCAGGCTCCCTTGTGGGTGTCCCTCTAGGGTGCGGGGGTGCTGGGTTCTTAACCCCTAAGTCTGACTTGAATCAAGAGTCGCGGTGACTCTCGACTTTATTTTTCTTTTAGAAAATCCATCCTCTGGACATAATTGGGGAAGTCGCCAACAAGGAAGCCTAACCTGGTCATTTCCATTAAGAAGCAACCTTGCGAAGACGGGGTCGGACGTTGACAACCTTCCAGAAGAGGGCGAGATGCTGAGGTCAGACTGGTCCTCCCTGGAGTGTGCGTGTGCGTGCGTGCGTGTGTGTGTGCGTGTGTGTGTGTGGGAGAGAGAGAGAGAGAGACGGAGGGAGGGAGGGAGCTGGCGCAGAGACTTAGGCAAGCCACAGGGTGCTCCATCCTGCGCAGCGTGGGACAGAATAGGAAGCGGCAGAGGCCAAAGCAACGAGGATGGGCCGACGGGATCGACAGAGGGAGCGGGCGGAACAAGGAGCCCGAGACGTGAGTTCAAAGCTGTCGGGCAGCTCTGGCTCTTCGGAGCGCACGGAGGGCACGTGCAGGGGGC